AATGTACAGAGCACCCCCAGTGCTCTCTAACACCAAGACCTCCCCTACAGAATGTACAGAGCACCCCCAGTGCTCTCTAACACCAAGACCTCCCCTACAGAATGTACAGAGCACCCCCAGTGCTCTCTAACACCAAGACCTCCCCTACAGAATGTACAGAGCACCCCCAGTGCTCTCTAACACCAAGACCTCCCCTACAGAATGTACAGAGCACCCCCAGTGCTCTCTAACACCAAGACCTCCCCTACAGAATGTACAGAGCACCCCCAGTGCTCTCTAACACCAAGACCTCCCCTACAGAATGTACAGAGCACCCCCAGTGCTCTCTAACACCAAGACCTCCCCTACAGAATGTACAGAGCACCCCCAGTGCTCTCTAACACCAAGACCTCCCCTACAGAATGTACAGAGCACCCCCAGTGCTCTCTAACACCAAGACCTCCCCTACAGAATGTACAGAGCACCCCCAGTGCTCTCTAACACCAAGACCTCCCCTACAGAATGTACAGAGCACCCCCAGTGCTCTCTAACACCAAGACCTCCCCTACAGAATGTACAGAGCACCCCCAGTGCTCTCTAACACCAAGACCTCCCCTACAGAATGTACAGAGCACCCCCAGTGCTCTCTAACACCAAGACCTCCCCTACAGAATGTACAGAGCACCCCCAGTGCTCTCTAACACCAAGACCTCCCCTACAGAATGTACAGAACACCCCCAGTGTTCTCTAACACTAAAACCTCCCCTATGGAATGTACAGAGCGCCCCCAGTGTTCTCTAACACCAAAACCTCCCTTACACAATGTGCAGAAAACCCCCAGCGTTCTCTAACAGGCATACCTCCCCTACAGAATGTACAGAACACCCCCAGGAGTTGCCACGCTTGCAAGGAAGTGATTTTAACTGTTTGCCAGTTTTAGAAAAGCTAAGCGGACTGCATATTTATTTATTTTTCTAAACAGAGTTTCCCTTTAAAGCTTAAATGTCTGCTTGTAGCATAATTTGCTCACACCTTCTCATTATATAACCTCATTCTTAATTAAAGCCTGATTATCTACCTGTAATCAGATAATGTTGCTACTAATAGCTCTGTAGGCCATGCTCTTTCATTAAAAATCGCTTAATGCTCCTCTGGTTTCCCTGCATTACGTCAACTGATTTCTAACAACTAACACATGAAAAGTCATCATTCTTGAAACAACACAGTTCAGAGAGCAACAAAACTGACACTTGATGGGTTTCTCTGACCTCTACTCCTTTCGGTTGATTTGCCGGTCTCAACACGTGCTTTTCATTTGTTAATTATTACGAGCATTAAATCTGGCTTAGACAAATTGCTGTGAGGAATTAACAAATGCTAAAACGATTCAGCGTTTTCCCCATGCAGTCCAAAGCAACAGCTTCACTTTTAACGGCCTGTTCAAACCTGTGCATTATCGCAATTGCACGGCAGCACATAGTGCAGTGTGATGTGTGACTATTCATCTTGAATTCGTTGTAAGGCACTATAGTGAACAATCTGTGCATTGAGGTTTGTTGGGTTAAGAATATTGTGACACGAAGCAGCTTTGGTGCATTGCGACCCATTCAAAATGAATGAGCTTCTTATTGCAACGCACATAAAATGTATGTGCCTTACCGCAACACACAGGTGTGAACAGACCCTAATCCACTCCCCTTTACCTGATATATACCTTTGCATAGCTTTCTATCCTAGTCTCTGTTCAACCACCTGGACTGAAGTGAAATACTTTGTACGCTTAGGTATTGGGGAGCATGTGACTTTCTCCCCTACCTCTCATGATGTACTGAGGTCCAAACAGAGAGCCCTCAGCTCTCTGTAGACGCTAACCATATGGAATTCTTTGTGTATTCTACCTTTATCACAGCTAAATTCTAGGCACGCCATGAGAACACAGTTGAAATAAATATTTGTGAACTGCTTTACCTGCCAAAGGATGTACAATTCCATCCAGCCAGTTTTGTGATCTAGCCATCATACCCTTTAAAAGTAGGCAAAATCTTGGCACCCCAGTCTAAAATGTAACATACAATATGTAGTGCACCCCCTTAAAACTCATACCGGACCCCTATCCTAGACAGGGGTCCGGTATGAATATTAAGAGGAACACAAAAAAAAAAAGCATAACAAAAAAGAGATGACATAGGTTTCCCCCCTTTCACATCAGCAGCCCTCTTTACATCAGAACACCCCCCCCCCATTTACACCAGGAGCCCCCTTTTCACATCAGAGTCTCTCCTTCACATCAGGAGCCACCCTTTCCATCAAAAATGTAAAAAAAATCATTTGGGGTCCGCCCCCACGCACAAAACAACAATTACAAAGGACATAATGTGACATGATGCTGATCTAGATATTTACAAAGTTTACTGATATAAACAAGGCAAACAATTGTATAGACCGATGCAGTGTACTGAACCCAGTGCTCATCACATGATGCGATTCACTAGTATATTCTTAGCTTTAGTGTTGTGTCTGAGTCAAGGAATGGTTAGAAATCCTACCCTATTTGTCCCTAACAATACAGCTTCACATCAGTCCATGCCATGCAAAAGGACCACCAGCACAGAGGCCACAGCATGCATAGTGTTTTTTTTCGAATATGATGTTTGCTTGTTTATTTTGCTGCCTTTAGCAAAACATTTGTGTATTGCCTATTTACCTGTTATATATACGGTACATGCTGTATATGTTTACGTACATTGTAAACTAAGCAATAAAATATTGCATGTTACCTGCCATAGGCTAATGCAAACAAACCAAATGCAATAGGTGGTGGTCAAGTGACCTACTGGTGTATGTCCAGCTACAATATTGGCTCCAACCCAGGAAGTGTGAAAACTCCTTCTGTAGTGGTTTTTCAATGCAGCATCAGGCCAGTTCAATCCCACTGGACAAGTGCCATCAGCAGCAAAAATGGCATTTCAGAACATGTAAGAGGTTACTTTTTAGGATAACGGTTAATATGCTAGAGGTTTGCCTGTCTGTATTTTTGCTGCCTTTACTAAAATGCTTGTGTCTACTTAGCATACATAAAGGTTACATCGTCATAATAAGGGGATTTGATATTTATAGCTTATTTTCAAACAATAAAAATGTCCCAAATAAGGGCAAAGCTATAGCAGACCATGCAACAAATATGGGGCATAGAACTGTCTGGCTACAAAATCATCTCCATAGGAAGCCATATTGTTTGGCAAAAAAACATTTATATAAAAGGATACGTGTACTTTAAAACAAAGTGCACTTCTCCTTTAGGCCTCTTTAAGATGACATTACCCATACCACCCTCCCTCTGCACAGATGCATACTTACCAAGTTCCAACGGGTCCGACTTCCATTGATTGTTTACATCCTGTGGTGAACATCTCCCTCTCCTGGCAACGCCTGCACAGTACATCCCCATTGAATTCTATGGGGAACACTGCCCATCCAGAAAGCGGAGGTAGTGAAGCCCCTTAGAAGTCAATGGGTATGTATTGCACAGGCGGTAAAACACATTAACACAGTTAACTGTTCCTTAAAAATATTTGAGATTTTTTTAAAGTGACCCGCTTAGAAGAGTGTCTCCTACTTCCCATGCTGCTAAATGCTACTCCGTTGTTGTGAAATCATCCCTGAAATCTACTGGAAAACCAACACTTCTGGTAGTGTGTATCTCCTTTGTTCTTCAGACAGTTCACTGGTTCCTCCTGATGACCCCCACTTTACAGCAGGACACAGAAGTGATGTGGAGATCATTGGGAGCAACCGGTGAACGCCGTGGGAAACGCAGGAGATCAACAATCACGTATATACTGTAAATGCAGTCTTCATTTCAGGTAACACATTTATCTTAATATTTATATTGGTGACAGGGTCACTTTAAATGCAATTAGTATAAATACTTGAATTTGTCTTCATATTCCCCTCTTCTTATCCCCTGTACAGCAAGCTTCAGACATGGAGAGGAAGGATCAGCATTTGGAGCCATTCAGACTCTGCTGCAGTGCACATGCTCAAACAGAAGTAGCTGACATAGTGAGAGAGCAGAGTGATGACTTATCAGTGCTTTGCTGCCCTGTCATTGTTTGATCCATAGGCTGTGGGTGTGTTCTTGATCAAGACGATTTTCTGCAGCAACAGAGGTTAGGGACCTGGCTGTATCTCATTCTCAAGAGTAGCCAAATCTTTTGTCGGGTAAATCTGCACCCATGTATGCATTGCAAATTTTGTGTTTAGCTGCCTGCTAGGAGTTCTACTTTAAATAAAAGAGTCATTTTAAGTGCAGAAGGGAAGTGGGCCCTAAGGGTAAGGCGATGATGAGAAAAATGAATTGCTCAAATTAACCCTAGCTATACCAAGCAAGTGACTGGACTACTTTTTCTTCAAGTAGTACTAATGGCTAGGTGTTTTTTACCTTGATGCATACTCTGCATTAAGGTAAAACATTCCCAGTATCTTTGCATGATCCCATTCGCCCATACACTTTCCTATCCCATGTCGCCACCCCCGGGTCCAGGAAGATATCTGCCATTTCCTGAACTTCCTGGTTGTGGGGAAGAGTAATGAGGGCACTGGAGTGATAGATTTCTGCTGCCGTCAGTCAAACTGTTCCTAGGAGAGTGGCTTGCCATGCGCTGTGTGTGTCTATGGACACACAACAGTGCGGTCACACACATCAACGCGCACACATGGGTGTCTCTTCAGCAGCCGGCTGGGGGATCAGCGGTTTAGGGACTAGCTGCAGGAGGAGGAGATATACAACTTTTAACAAGAAGAATAATGTTTGAATAATGTAAGTGTGGACCTCCTCATCTAAAAAAAAGGTTTAATATCACTTTCAGCGTTTGAAATTGCCTAAATATATAACCATCATGCGACCCCCATACAATTTTTTTGGATGTATATGTACCCCTGACTAGGTAATTTGAACTGCTTGACCAAATTGGATGCTCTTTAGATTTTTATGTTTGTTACATTGAATTTTTCTTTTGCAGCCAATTACAATGAACTATACCAGTGGTCTGTGGAATGCTATCCAGAGTTTTGGGCAGAATTTTGGGATTTCAGTGGTCTTGTCTACTCACTTATGTATGATGAGGTATGTAGGCTACTGTTCTTGTTTTTGCACTTTAAATACCATAACAACTTTGGTTTACTTAACTGCTATTATGTAAAAGGTGTGTGTGTATACAAGATATAATTCAAAGTGAACCAGTGAGGATAGAACTACTGTTTGGCAACTGCCACTGATAACTGTCGGCTCTGCGACTTTCATGCTGATCCTAGCTTTAATACATGGTTAGTTAATGACTTGGGACCAGTCTACACTGGATGCATGCTGGTTGCATGGTTCCATGTGTAGACGTCTATAAGAACTGAGATTGCTGCTGGCCACCACCATCTTGAATGTGGTGTCAACATGCCAAGCAGACCCAGAGTTGTCACTAGGGATGTCCCGATACCGATGCTAGCATCGGAATCGGGCCCGATACAGGGCATTTTGACAAGTACTTGTACTTGTCAAAATGCCCTGTATCGGGCCCGATTCCGATGCTAGCATCGGAATCGGGCCCGATACAGGGCATTTTGACAAGTACTTGTACTTGTCAAAATGCCCTGTATCGGGCCCGATTCCGATGCTAGCATCGGAATCGGGCCCGATACAGGGCATTTTGACAAGTACTTGTACTTGTCAAAATGCCCTGTATCGGGCCCGATTCCGATGCTAGCATCGGAATCGGGCCCGATACAGGGCATTTTGACAAGTACTTGTACTTGTCAAAATGCCCTGTATCGGGCCCGATTCCGATGCTAGCATCGGAATCGGGCCCGATACAGGGCATTTTGACAAGTACTTGTACTTGTCAAAATGCCCTGTATCGGGCCCGATTCCGATGCTAGCATCGGAATCGGGCCCGATACAGGGCATTTTGACAAGTACTTGTACTTGTCAAAATGCCCTGTATCGGGCCCGATTCCGATGCTAGCATCGGAATCGGGCCCGATACAGGGCATTTTGACAAGTACTTGTACTTGTCAAAATGCCCTGTATCGGGCCCGATTCCGATGCTAGCATCGGAATCGGGCCCGATACAGGGCATTTTGACAAGTACTTGTACTTGTCAAAATGCCCTGTATCGGGCCCGATTCCGATGCTAGCATCGGAATCGGGCCCGATACAGGGCATTTTGACAAGTACTTGTACTTGTCAAAATGCCCTGTATCGGGCCCGATTCCGATGCTAGCATCGGAATCGGGCCCGATACAGGGCATTTTGACAAGTACTTGTACTTGTCAAAATGCCCTGTATCGGGCCCGATTCCGATGCTAGCATCGGAATCGGGCCCGATACAGGGCATTTTGACAAGTACTTGTACTTGTCAAAATGCCCTGTATCGGGCCCGATTCCGATGCTAGCATCGGAATCGGGCCCGATACAGGGCATTTTGACAAGTACTTGTACTTGTCAAAATGCCCTGTATCGGGCCCGATTCCGATGCTAGCATCGGAATCGGGCCCGATACAGGGCATTTTGACAAGTACTTGTACTTGTCAAAATGCCCTGTATCGGGCCCGATTCCGATGCTAGCATCGGAATCGGGCCCGATACAGGGCATTTTGACAAGTACTTGTACTTGTCAAAATGCCCTGTATCGGGCCCGATTCCGATGCTAGCATCGGAATCGGGCCCGATACAGGGCATTTTGACAAGTACTTGTACTTGTCAAAATGCCCTGTATCGGGCCCGATTCCGATGCTAGCATCGGAATCGGGCCCGATACAGGGCATTTTGACAAGTACTTGTACTTGTCAAAATGCCCTGTATCGGGCCCGATTCCGATGCTAGCATCGGTATCGGGACATCCCTAGTTGTCACAATCTATAATTTTTACCTTTGCTTCTCTTCAAGGAATAGAGAAAGTCTGATTTGAAGGTGCATCCCAAAACTGTTTCGGACTTGTAGAAAAGTCTGAACTTTTTCGGTTATATTAAGAGTGGGACAGGCCTGAGAATTTCCATGTTGGTGGTTGGGGAGGGAGGGAGGATAAACATATAATGACCATCAGAATGTCAGTGTGCATAGAATTTTTGAGGAGCTCCAACTGCACCCATGGAAACCAGTCTGTGACACTAAAGGTATGATCTTGTACATTTCTTTGCTTGTAAATCGTCCCTCAGACTTTGTAAGATGGCATGTTCCAAATTCTGATTTCCCATAAAGTGACGCTAAACGCAGTAGTTAAATCTTAAAAATACATTATAGTACTGTAACTATTAACAAAAATTTATCTTATTTGTGTATCACTCAGCTGTAGATCCTCAAATCATATCTGAATTGGTGCTGATAGTAAAAAAAAATTGCAATATATATACATTAATGTAAGACCTATTAACTCTTTGGGGAGGGGAATGGGGAGGTCAGGCCTAGCCCAACAACATTGTCTAACATCCAATTTCTTCAGGTAAATAACAGAGCATGCACTCTTTGAGTCTGGGTCTGCAATAGCAGCAGTAATAGAGGAAATGGTGTCCTTTCCTCCACCCACCATTTGACACGTAGTCCTTTTTCACACATTTGACAAGTTCAGGCATCTCAGTTATTGCTTGAACTATTTTGCTATTCAGATATTATAATGTCTTTTTTGTTTTCATGTTTCACATTTTTTCACTTGCAGGTACAAATATTTGACACTTGATTATTAACGCTTGTTTTTAGGTCATTGACAGGTCCAAAGGAGTTGCTGATGTTCCAGAATGGTTTCATGGGAGCCGTTTGAATTATGCTGAGAACCTTCTCAAACACAAGGAGAATGATAAAATTGCTCTATATGCTGCAGGTACGTGTTGCCAACTAGGAACTAGTAGTTTGTGTGGATGCGTAATTTTTTGGAAACCAGGCCTTCACACCTATATGAGCCTTATGGACATCTCATTACAAAATCACGGGCATTAATATGGAGATCCCCCCTCCTCCTTGTACCTATAACAGTCTCCACTTCTCTAGAAAGAATTTTCCACAAGATTTTGGATTGTATCTATAGGGTTAGGGCTCTGTGCAGTCCACTCAAGTTCCTCAACAGCAGACTTGTCAAACCATGTTTTTATGGAGCTGGCTTTGTGCTCAGGGGCACAGTCATGCTACAACAGAATAGAGCCTTTCCCAAACTGTTGCCTCAAGGCCGGAAGTACGCAATTGTTCAAAATCTCTTTTTATAATGTAGCAATAACAGTACCCTTCAATAGAAACACCTAAACTCTTTAATTTTAATTTGGGCTATATACAGGTGAAACTCGAATAATTAGAATATCGTGCAAAAGTAATTGCAGTAAGTGCTGCAAAAGGGGCCCAAACCAAGTACTGAGTACATGCATGCTTGTACTTTTCAGAGGTCCGATATTGTTCTATGTACAATCCTTGTTTTATTGATTTCATGTAATAATCTACTTTTTTGAGGTTGTGGATTTGGGGTTCTTGGGGTTTTCATGAGCTGTAAGCCATAATCATCACAATTATGACAAATCACGGCTTGAACTATCTTGCTTTGCATGTAATGAGTCTATCTCATATATTAGTTTCACCTTTTAAGTTGCATTAGTGAAATAAATGAACTTTGCACGATATTCTAATTATTCGAGTTTCACCTGTACGTAGGCATGATGGCCAGTTGTCCACAAATTTTTGGTTATAGAGTGTTTATCAGGAGTTGTCAACCTTTTCCACGTTACGACAAGCATTAGACAACCAGAATTAACAATCACACTGTAGGTCCAGCTTGGCCCAAAGTAAGTATACATATTTTATACCTGATAAGGCAACAGCTCTACTGTAAAATACTGTGGTAGCCAAAACTACTATGGTGCTTTACAGTGATCTTCCAGGACCTGGAACATCACCGCCCCACATTCAATCAGAGAATGCTTGTAATTGTTGATAAAAATGATAGATGTTCTCTGAATAGCGTTTTGGCAAGGTGAGTGACCCCCTGTGTTTTTAGAGCAGAAGGAAGTTCAGCACAGTGCAGTAGTAGGATCAGGAGGCTTGCTTTAGAGCACTGTAGTAGCTGGAGCTACAGTGTTTTTATGAAGTCCCTGTGGCCCTACCATTCATAAAATGTGTACTTGCATTGGGCCTGCTGGACCAATGTAAGTATGCCTAAATATTTATACCTCGAGTTTAGCTTTAAGCTCTGCAGGCTTTTTTTTAGCAGAGCAGTTAGGATTAGCCTGTATGACATGTAGAAAGGACCCTGAACCTCCACTGTCTGGCTGGAAAATGATTATTAATATTATTATAGAATATTACATTGTTATATGCAGTATTTAAAATGTAGACATTGTTGTTGTACTTTGTAGTCCTGAAAAATAATAATAATAATGTGAAAAAAGTTCAATTCATATAATGAAATATTTAGAAGAAAATGTATGTGTGTTCTTTTGAACAATTACATGTAGGCTTTTTTATTCCAGCTTTTAGTGAATTTACTAAAAGTAAAACTTGTACACACATGGCCAGTCTTTCCAGATATAAAGTTCCTAGAGATGCGTAACTCTGTGGTCATTGTACCATTTTACAGTAATCTTTTGTTTGTCAATGGTTAGTATTAGGTATTTCATTACGTTATTCCATGCTTGCTATTTCCATAGTAATTAAAGAAAGTTTTATTACTTATTATTGTCCTTAGTGGAAGGCAGGGAGAATGTGGAAAAGGTGACTTTTGAAGAGCTGAGAAGAAATGTAGCTTTATACGCCGCTGCCATGAGGAAGATGGGACTTGAAACTGGAGACCGTGTTGTTGGTATGTATCTGTCTATTTTTATAATGCCTTCATTAGTTCTGGGTACTAGTATGCAAGTTCAACATTTTTAAACCCAACTCCAACTTTTTTTTTTAAATCAGATAGTTTTTATTCGTTTTTGCATAGTAGAAAATACAAAAGACATTTACAGAAACAAAAACACAAAGAAAAAGAGAGAGAGCATCCATATCCATAAGAGCCACAAAATGTAATTCGACAAGAACACATCGCCCGCCTATAAAAGAGCACATTCAATATCAATTATCGTGAAAGCCTCGTGAGCCCCCTACATGTACATCTCAACACACACCTACATCCATCTCTCCACCTTGTACTCAGGGGTCTTACGGGTTTGACAATGTAATGGGATACAGACATCAATGGTCTCTAGGAGAGGAGCATGGATGTCGTCTACGCAGATATGTCCTGTCCACGGTATGTCAACCAATTATCCCACAGGGAATGAAACCGTGCCAGGGTGCCCCGTTGTTGAAAGGTAATGCGCTCATATGCAATGATCCTATCCAATTCCACATGCCACATCTTCAGTGTAGGTGGGGAAGAGGATATCCATTTATGGACTGCCAACCTAGTTGCAGTGATTAATGCATGTTTAAGGGCCAGGACCGTGTGTTGAGTGAGGTCCGTGTCCTCTATAATGCCAAGGACGCATACCAATGGTGAATTAGGTAGGGAGGATGTGAACACAAGGTTGAGAGTGTCCACAACCCCCTCCCAGTATCGGACCAATTTCGGGCATCTCCATAGTAGATGTACTAAGGAGCCACGTCTGAAGCCACATTTTGGACAACTGGAGTCAGCCCTCAATCCTATGCGAAACAGAAATTCAGGGGTGCGATACGTTCTGTGCACAATAAACAATTGAGTCCAACTCCAACTTTAAATGAGGCCTCTGTTCCTAAAAATGTCAGCTGCTCTGATCAACTTAAAACTAGCAAAATGGGGGAAAGGTAGAGATGGCAGTGTGACCCAAAATACGAACATAACCCAGCATGCTCCCAGCTAGTTAGCACACAAAAACTAAACTGTTTTAACAGCTCAGGTTAAAAACAGTTTTTTGTTGTATACATTTGTAGATAGATTTAAAGCCACAGTGAGGTGTGTAGAAGGGTTAGAACTTGTGTCCGGATATTATTTCTGTTTATGTCTTCCTGTCTCGGACATCTACTACCCTCATTTACTGTATTATACTACTGTCACAGGGTCAGAAAAGTAGTTGACATTTCCCAATGGGGTACGGAGAGAATTATTTTGACTCTTCCCAAGTCTATTCATTGTTAGGCTTTAAAAGAAAAAGATCAAAAAAAAAACTGATAGCTTGTCAATGCACAAATAAAGTTTGCATTAAAGCACAAATGTTGTGTAAATGACCCCCAAAGTGCTATAGGACACATCTTTTACAAAAGACAGCGAACATCTATATTGAAGTTTATCTAAATCCAATCGCTAAAACTCACATAAGCTTTAAAAAGACCCTGCTACCATTTTCAAAAATTGCAGGTAAAAGCACAGAAAAAGCAAGTTTTAAATGCTTAATTGCAGTTATTTTTATTTCCATAAATGATTGTTTGTGGACTGGAATGTGCCTCCTGACTTCTTCTAGAAGAGTCAGTTCCCTAATACAGCCCCCTTCCTCCATGCACATCGTAGCCCTTTCCTCTTCTGGGAGTGCCTAATTACTCTCTGTGCTGGCCAAGCTCCTTCGTCCCTCCCATCACCTCCATACATAACCTTTTGTGTGGCTGCTGGGATAGGAATGAAGACGAATATTATAGAGTATAGAGTGTATAGAGTGTATCTGCTGACATCACATCCATAATGGCAACACCCAGCACCAGTCTTAGGGCTTCTAGTTGTCTACACAAGAGAGGCTTTTACAGGTAAATAGCATGCATTAAATGGACTCATAATCTTTTAGGAATATTTTTGTTGAAATGAATGGTCTGAAAACAGGGTCTCTGTAACATGTTAGTGTAATTTCAAAAAGTAATTTAGATTTGTTTTTTAAAAATGCAGCTTTTATTAAAATAATACCCGCTGATACTTTTATGAAGGTTCTTGTTTGGGCACTTACAATTATGGGGTGACAACACTCTGTCCCTATCTTCCAGTTGTATACCAGCATTGTTACTAATGTAGGCTTCAAGCAGCCATGACAATGCACATTGCATGGGCATGCTCTACCGTTGTCACCATCAGGATGCCCGCCCTGACAAAGTATGTGCATGAACTTAGATAGGAGATGGCTACAAAGAGGCTGCAGGAGATCAGTAGTGCTCATGTGCAACCAAAGAATGGAAAGAAGGAGAAACATATTTAAAAAATAAAACACCAAGGTGATTGTTTGTTTATGCTTTAGCAAATTTAATGTAATTTAGTGTTATATACTGTATTAACTTCATGTTATTTCAAAAAGAGGATCACTATGCTGTTTGGTTTTAGGCTACCTTCCAAACTGCATCCAGACAGTGCAAGCCATGTTGGCAGCTGCAAGCATTGGAGCAATTTGGAGTGCCACTTCCCCAGACTTTGGAGTCAATGTAAGTAATCTGAATATAAAAACATAAGACCTAAAAATTGCCTATCTGGCAATTTATGTATGTGCCAGGACAACTGGTTTGCGAAAGCTGCTGTGCAGGTGAGGGCTCTGAACAGTTCATAGTTACATAGTATGTGAGGTTAAATAAAGACAGGTTCATCAGGTTCAACCTATATAGTGTGTGTGTAAGTATAAGGCATTTCAGCAAGTCTAATAACCCTGTTTATTCTGTGAACTGAGGCACTCACCCAAGTGTTTTTTGAAGCTGTTGATGGTTTCTTCTAATACAACTCTATCTGCGGTAATGAATTCCACATTTTACTGCTCTCATAGTAAAAAAAAAACCCTTGCGCAGTTTTAGATTATATCACATCCCCTCCAATTTCTTGTTGTGCCCTTGTATCTGTCTCAACGTTCTTGTTTTAAGCAGTGCATTCCCAATACTGCAGTCACCTGCAGAGAACAAATTAAATTTTTGTAGTTGTCCTTGACAGCTCAGGCCCTCCATCACCCTTATTACATAGTTACATAGTATTTGAGGTTGAATAAAGACATTAGTCCATCAAATAATTCAGGTACCCTTCTCTGAACTTTTTCTAGCTCTTGGACATCCCTGCTTAGGCTTGGTGACAAAACTCTACTGTCTACTCAAGATGAGGCCGATGCAGTGTTTTATAAAGCATTAGAATTATATTTCTATCCCTTGAAGAAATCCCTCTTTTAATATGAGTTTGTATTCTGAGTTGGCATTGCAGACTATTGCTTAGTCTGAGGTCTATAATTACCCCAAGGTCTTCTCCATCTCCAATTTCCCCAGTGCTGCCCCTCCCAAAGTGTAATCTGTGTGCATGTTCTTAGCTCCCAAGTGCATGACTAGACATTTTTCTCATCTGCCACGTTGCTGCCCACTCTCCAATTTTGTTGAGGCGCTACTGCAGTGATTCTATATCCTGTAGCAAACTTATTTCCCTATATAATTTCGTTTTGTAGCAATCACTGACAGTGAGCTATTATTTCCCACCTCTATATCATTTATGAAAAGGATAAACAAAATTGGCCCCAGGACCGAACCCTGTAGCACTCCACTCACAACATTAGACCAATTTGAGAATTAGCCATTTAACCCTACCCTCTGGATACGTCCTTGCAACTGGTTTGCTACCCATGTGCATAAAGTTTCTTCAATACAATTAGACCTTAGTTTGTAAAGTAACCTTTTATGGTGTAATGTGTCGAATGCCTTTGCAAAGTCCAGATAAACTACATCTAATGTGATTCCTCTGTCCACTTTAGAACTACTTTACTTAAAGAATGTCCAAAGAGTTGTCTGGCACCAACGGCCGTTAATAAATCCATGCTGGGTAGTACTTATGATAGCGTTATCGCATGCAAATTTTGGTTAGTCCTTGACTATTCCCTCAAAAACTTTGCATATGACTAATGTTAGGCTGACCGGCCTGTAGTTACCTGGTAGACATTTTGAACCTTTTTGGAATATAGGTACCACATTTGCTTTCCTCCAATCATCTGGTACCTCTCCCGTCTTTAAAGTATTCTTATAGAATACGAACAATGGTTCCAGTATCTGCAACCTTTGTATACAAATTCTGACATCAAATTATGGCTGCAATCATTCTTGAAGCACACTTGCATAGGTGATGGATGGATTTGCAGCTATAATTTACCATTCGAGGTGGTACACGCAAGCACTGGATACTGAAGATTACCTAGTACTGGTTTAAAAATCCTGGCAGTACCCTTGGTGTATACTGTGCATACAAATTAGGACAGCACTGTCTGTACCAAATGCGACACAGTCCATGTTTTTGAGCCTAGTATGAAGCTGACTCTTAGCTGAGCATTTTATACGTATTGAGCCATCTGGCTAAGGATATATTTGTGCTTTGGCAGGAAATTGTGCCAAGCACTCCATTTTACCACCTCCCCTTTGAAAATCTTTAATATGTCACTAGTTAGAAACTGGCATAGCACACAGCAATGTTTGCTTAGTCTTTATTGAAAATGTCATTCTGCGACTAATATCAGAAAAAATGGAGCTTATATTATAACATTGCAGAGAGAACTGAAACCGTAAACCACAAAAACAAATTAGATTTTATTTTTCACAGCTTAGAAAAATCTGCCCAATCTATGTTGCAATGTATCTATGTACAATTTTACTGTGGTAGCCAAAGCTGAACATGCAAATTAGTTGATCTAAGCCCAACATGCAGATGTTGTCTGTACTTGTCATTGAACCTACGCATGTCATGTGTTCGGACAGCTAACTGGCTTCATGCTTGTTCTAGATCAGTCACTCACCACACATGGAAGTCTTCTAATAACCCCTTACGTTCAGGTGCCTCTCTTGACCTCGATTTAAATAGAGCCTTTATCAGTGTCATTCCTAAACCCCATAAAGATCAAGGAGAAGTCTCGAATTACAGACCGATCTCATTGATCAATAACGATATCAAATTTTTGTCTAAAATTTATGCTAACAGATTAAATTCTTTCTTGAGCTACTATATAAATCAAGATCAAGTGGGCTTCATTTCAGGGAGGCAGGGCCCGGACCAGGTTAGAAGAGCCATAGATCTTATCTCATTGCTTAGAAATCCATGGGATGGGGGCAACCGCACAAAAAGGGATGTTACTATCCTTGGACCTGCAGAAAGCATTTGATTCTGTCTCCTGGGAATACTTGCTGCAACTGCTAAAGAATTGGGGGTTTGGGCCTCATTTCCTACATATATTTCAGGTACTATATTCTTCACCCTCAGTTCAGATTCGGTTCCAGGGACACCTGTCAGACCCTATTTTAATTCGAAGAGGTACAAGACAGGGGTGCCCTCTTTCGCCACTTTTATTCACCATAGCGCTAGAACCCCTGGCCATAGTGCTCCGGGAAAATCCAGACATTAGGGGAATTGAATGCCAGGCAGTTGATCACAAATGCGCTCTGTTCGCATATGACATGCTGCTATTTGTAACTTCCCCTCTTGTCTCACTACCCAACATCATGGCGCATTTGAAAGAATTTGCAGGGATATCGGGTCTTCGAGTCAATGCTTCTAAATCTGTGGCACTAAACATCAATCTTCCTTCTGAGCTGTGGTCGGGGCTTAAAAACTCCTTTCCATTTGAATGGCGCTGTGATTTCCTTCAGTATCTTGGAGTAAAAATCACTCCCTCTTATTCTCAATTGTATTCAGTGAATTACCCTCCACTCCATAAATTTCTCAGGAAGATATGAGGAGATGGTCGTCCTATAGCCTTTCCTGGATGGGCCGCATCCATTCAGTTAAAATGACCCTACTCCCTAAAATTTTTTACTATTTTAGAACTTTACCAATTCCGATCCAACGGGCTGAACTCCCTAAATTGCAAACGTCTATCTTGAACTTTATCTGGGGTAATAAACATCCCAGAATTTCGCAATCCACCTTATTCAAATCCAGAGACTAGGGGGGTCTAGCGGTACCTAATTTGTTCTTCTATTACCGGGCTGCACAGTTGTCACAGTTATCCTCTGTATATTCCCGTGAAGCTGCTCCGGACTGGGCAAAATAGAAATGGGCTCAGCTAGGGGCATCTCCATTGAAGTATTAAAATGGATGACTTCTAGGTAAAGGCCGACGATCCTAGCCCCTACTCTGTCACACTGTATTGCCCTGTGGGATCGGCTGCGAGGTAAGGAAGGTATGGTTTCCCCTCATTCTCCTTTTGGCACCATTGTTCAATAATGCGAATTTTCAACCGGGATTGCAAGTCAAGCGTTCCAATGGTGGATTGACAAAGGCCTGTACAGAATTGGAGACCTGATCAAGGGTCATAAACCAATTTCTCTGGCCTATTGCCAAAATATTCTACGGATGCCACAATCGGAATTGTTCAGATTCAGGCAAATTCAGCACTTTCTACAATCGTTGAAGATACCTGATGCTGGCATCCTGTTGTTGACATTGTACGAAAGATGGTGTCTAGGTGCCCCCGGTGTAGGAGGGGGGATTTCCATAATCTACGCGGCTCAGCTTGGCCCATTTACTAAATTATCCTATATGGACGCTTGGGAACTTGAGCTAGGGGAAGTTCTTTCTACAGATGAATGGAAACAGCGCACCAAGAGATTAACCATGGGGCTGCTTAATGTTTCCCTATTAGAAGCCAACTACAAAGTCTTCTCTAGATGGTACCTGGTTCCAGCAAAGATAACCATTATGTTCCCAGGGTCCAGTCCTTTATGTTTTAGAGGATGTAATCAGCAGGGCACGATGATCCATGTCTGGTGGCAATGCCCAAAACTGCGTCCCTTCTGGAATCGCTTTTTTGCCTTGCTCTCTGGGATTCTCCAGGTACAGGTTCCGAGAGACCCCCAGCATTTGGTATTGAATAAACCAGTTACGGGGATATCTAGGGCGCAGGGCAAATTAGTATCCTTCTTTTTCTTAGCAGCCAAGGTATCAATAGCTAATTCCTGGAAAGCTGAAAGGGTCCCATTCTCAATGGCACTATCTAAATTAAATTGGATCATGACATATGAGATGCTGTGCAGTATCTTACAGGATAGATACCTAAATTTCCAAGCGGTATGGGACCCATGGCTGTCATACCTAGGAATTCTGAACTCTCCTCGCACGGAAGCTGGAAGAGATGCAGCCCGGCTGAAACGCTGGGTTGTCCATTATGGGGGTCATGGGTCCCTCCGCGGAAGACAGATCGTGGGTTCCAGTCAAAAGGTTCCACACTTTCAGGAGGGGCGGAAGACTAAAGGGAAGCTGTGAGGAGTGTGGGCGATGGATAGCCGCAATCCAGGGTATCGAGAAAGGGAGTACTGGAGATATAAATGATTCCAGGGAGACCCAGAGCTTATGAGCTCCCTGAAACTTCCGATCAAGGACGTGGGCGAGGAGCGTCGCGTAGTGGTAGGTTTTTAAGTCAGGGAGGACCAACCCCCCCGATTCCTTTGCACGGACCAAGATGTTGTAGGCCAGTCTTGCG